AAAAAAAAAAGGATCGTGAAGGATGAAGCATCCACTTAACTTTCCTTCTCCTTCGCTCTTGTTTATACAAATTTTATTTCGCATAAACAAACTCCAATCTAAAGACGAGAGGAAAGAACAGAAGAGAAACTAAAAAGAATGATTCAAGTGAAATGAGCAATAAAGAAACGTTTAAGAGAATAAATTCTATTTTTCACCTCGATGAACAATGTATATTATGTGATTGGTAAAATATAATCTGAAAAAAATATATATATAATCTCTCAAAGTGTTTCATAATATATATATATACCAGTCTGAAGAACTTTTACGAATCCCTCCATCTTTTATATCGACAAAAAAAAGTTAATCGATCGTGCAAACAACGTGCGATCCAGCCACGTGTTCCAACAGTTTTTTTCCCAACAATTACCGCCGCGTGCATTTCGCATAAATCCATTGGTTATCCCCGTTATTTTTGAAAGGAAAAATGAGAGAGAAAAGTACGAGGAATAGAGAAATAAAATAAGGTTGCTCCGCGGGATATTTTGCCCCGCGTAAGTGGGCCGCGACCGAGAAACTTCGAGAAACATCTCCGCCTACCAAAGCTCGTCCATTCGCAATTATATCGTTCCACACGCTCGTCCACGCCTAGTAAACATCTCAACTGCGATAACAAGAATCGAAGAGTTATAAAACCGTTCGTGTATATTTTATCGAATTAAATTTTCTTATCTTATCCAGTTTAATATCTTCGTCGAATCATTGTGATTCGGTTGAAAAGATATCCGTCTTGTAAGTTTTTAATCGTTTCTTGCTATTTATATATTTGTTACGTAATACGTTGAAATATATTTCACTATTAATTATTCCATCGATCGATAAATTTATACGATGTACTTAAGGAATTTATTTCTTAAGGATTAGAATGTATATATATATATATATTATATACGTTGTTATATATATCATACACGTTGCGCGTATATCGAAAAAACTAAAGCTTGCTTACTTGTAGCAGGGAGTGTACGCAGCACGTGTGTGCAAACAGAAATGACGACTATCTGCTGTTTTTCGACCTTCGGCCGGTTATTAACGGCGAATTTAAATGTCCTTTCTAGCAAGCGGAGTGGAAAAAATCTCTCGTTATCTTTGAAAGCGGCAGTGTTTCGTCCCGTGGCGGAGTTTCCAGTTTCCTCTGCGCGCCTCAGGGACGCGAAAATGCGAAATAAAGTGAAATTGAAAGGAGAGAGAGAGAGGGAAAGAGAGGAAAAGAGAGAGAGAAATTCTGCCTCTGATCCACACCCTCTCCAGGATATATCCCACGTATAGTCTCTTTCTTACCCGACGGCGAAACGTTATACGAAGTTGGATACGAGGTTCGTGCAAAGCTCGAGGCTTTGCTGGTGTTATTTAAGCTATGGTGAAGGTATATATTATCGAGGTCTGACTTATCCTTTACCGAGCTACTCGCGCTGACATTACTTATTCTTGTTTATTTGTTTATTATTAGGCATGAGAATGTAAAATTTGGAAAAGGAATGTAAGGTTGTATATAAATGTTATATAAATGCTGAAAAAAATAAAATTGAACGTAAAAGTAAAGCTTTGGAGGTTAACCTATTATAAGTCTGATTTATCCTTTGCGTGTGAGAAAACGTAAAATTTAATCGTTATGAAAGGTCATAGGATTTATTTATTAGTGAATGTGAGAAAATATAAAATTTTGAAGAATAAAATTGTAATGTACAGATGGCGAAGAAAATAAAAATTTGTAGATATGTATATTTCTTTTCTTAAGATTAAAATTAAAGTTATTTTTTTCTTCTATTTAATTAATTATGCATGAATTATATCCTTCTTATAGAAATTTTAATATTGAAATTAATTATTTTTTGATACGAGTTTTTGTGTAAAACTCTAGACAGTGATAGATCTGTACGCTTGAGCAGACGAATCGCTTCAAGCCTGGCTTATCCTTTCCAACACTACTTACATAATAAACAGTACTTACGTACTTAGAAGGATAAAAGGAAATTCTTACAGAATACAGAAACGACAAAAATAAAAATTACGATTTTTTCTACAAAAAAATTATAACCTTAAAACTCTTGATACTCTCTACAAATATAAATAAATTCCTTAAATCACACGTTTGCTAAAATATTAAATTTTACTGGGAAAAAAAATCAAAGAAAAACGTTAAAAATTTATAGATGCATATAAATATTCAAAACAAATGAAACATTCCACACAACAGCTACTATAAAAACCGATCAAATATCCAACGTTTCACGCGATGAAATACAAAGAAATCCATAATCGCAAATCGAGAAAAAATTCGAGAAATAAAAAAAAGGAAAGAAGAAGTCCTGTAGAAAATCTGTTTTCCCTGTAACGAAATTTCGGAATTAACCGGTCTTCAAAAAAAGGAAAATCGTCGACAAAATTATTTACGAGCCGGAACTGAAACTGAATTCGACCGAACGTTTATCGTAACATTTACAACATCGACTCCAACCACTCGATTTCTTTTCTCTCGCCATCCGACATTTTTCTTTCCCCTTTTCCTCCTCGTCGCGATATTTTCCAACCTTTCTTTCGCCGCTTAGCAACGAAAACGAGCGGTAAGTCCCG